GGCTGCTAATACTGTTCAGTGTAAAGACAGTCTTTCTGAGGTAGACTGTTCAAGTTCAAGGACAAGTCTTTTTCTTACGAAATGCATGACATTCAAAAAAAGACAACAAATAAATACTACATGTACAATATGTAGCAATGAGGTAGAAATGGTTATAAAGAATGTTTGAATATACGTCCGATGGAAAAAAAAGAAAAAAGAAAAGAGAAATGGATATTACTTAGCAACTGTATATAATGTACAAGGAACACACACACTGAGAGAGAGGGAGGGAGGGATGGAGAGAGTAAGAGAGAATAGTTTTTAGCCTAGAAATAAACTTTTGTTTTTTTTGAACCATAAGACAAGAAGGAATGAATGTGCTCCTAGCCTTGGTGTACTACAGAACCATTCTATAAATATTTAACATTCTATAGGACTGATTCATATATTCTCACACAACTCTGTGGCAAGGCTGACCCATGCTGCCGACATTCTACATATCACTGAGACAGGGAGGTGAAATTTTCCTGCTTTCAGTCTAATTGTCTTTGACAATTGCAGTGCCTAGTGCTACACTGCTTGTGTTTATTTAAAAACAGGGGGAAGAGGAGATACTTGTTCATTAAAGATGCAGTATCCCTGGTTCACACAAATGCATCTGGCAGGTTCAAAATCGAATGTCAACCAAAGGTCTCAGCAGAGTGTGAGCTTCAGTTCATGTGTTGGTTAGTCACAAGTACAGCTGGTTTTGAATTCTGAAATACTTATAGCTCCATGTTTGCTAATGTGCTTCATATAAAAATCGACAGGTGATTCAACAAATTAAAAAAAAAATGTATTAAAACATTTTGATTTGTAAAGTGGTCATGTGTATCTCTGCATATCTGAAGAACAGGAGTAACCAGTTGCTTCTGAATAATGTAAAATAGATGTCAGTTTAAAAATTTAAATAGATGGCATTAAAAACAGCACACACACAAACACACACATTAACTATATATATATTAGAACTTTACTTTAGTGACCTCAATAGTTCAGCAAACTGAGCCCCTTCCAACTTGCAAAATACAGATTCAGTGATCACAATGCCCAATTTCTTACAAAAGAACATAAGACTGGGATAATAGAAATATCTTTCAGCTTCAAGTTAAGACAGATTTTCAGAGATGAAATCTAAATGCCTCTAAAACATATTTACCAACCCACAAATATATTGAAATTTACCAAGACCTATTGTAGGAATTAATTTGGATTTTTTTTTTTTTTTTGGAATGTGTTCTTTTGAAAACTGCCTAGCCTAGTACTATGAAACCCATGTAAATTGACCTTGCTATTTTAGATAGTATAGCCTCTGGATAGTTTCTATCACTTGCCCAGATGGTGTTTGGCCTATGTATTTTAGTGGAATGGTTTATTTTCTCCTTGATAGGTTTCAAATGCACAAGAAAACATTATATCCGTCTATCTGCATTTGAGTAGAATACAAACTGACTAAATAGATAAACATTGTGTGTAAATAGCCTTAAAGTATACTGCCTTCACATTCCATTGATCAGCTCAGTCAGCAAAGTTCTCCATGTTGTCACTAATGTACTAAATATTTTGGAAAGAAGCATGACAAAAGTGTAGAGTATTTCTATTTTTGTTGCATATAAAGTCATTATGAACTCTCTCTTAAATTTCTATTGATCCTTCAATTGAAGTAGTGTTCCTTCACTTTCTTTTTAATCCCTGTTTGAAATGTTGTTGGACTTGTTTAGAGACGAATTGGGGCCGTTAATGGAGTGGCTCAATCCCTGACCAGACAGCAAGGGATTTGGACTGGCTCATTACCTTACCTTCGTTAGCTGCCTTCTCCAAATTCTTACTGGCTAAAAAGAGGCCAAGAGTAGGAAGCCTGATTATGTACTCAATTGTACTATCAGTGATTGTATACATTCACTTCTAAGGATGTGGTATCCCACCTCCACCCCAAGCTCCAGTAGGGATGGTCAGAAAAGAAGTCAGTATCAAGCTAGTCCATAGAAGTGTTTATAATACCAACGTGAAGAATCAAAGAATCATAGCAGAGCGCTATCTACTCAAAGGACAGACTAATCTTCCCCAACATATCTTCATTTCCTCAGCATGCCCAATTTCTTAAGCAAAGTCTTTTAATTTGTGAGGCTACAAGAAAATTCACACATGACCTCAGTTTCAAGCTAAATAAATAAATACGGATCAGACCACTCAGATCTCAAAATAAATTTTGAGTCATTTAAAGCTAAAAGCCAATATGTAAGACTGTAATTTAGCTTACATTTTATAAATGAGTGAACTATATTATTGTGCAGTCATATTTGGCATTAACTCTTACTAGACACATACACGCAAAAAACAAACCAAAAAAAAAAAAAAAAAATGTGGGTCATTATTGGATTTTCCAGCGTTGTCTACCTAAGACTGGGTTTTTCAAAACTTGCCAAATGCTTTCAAGTGAACACAGCATGTTGGCGGAAATGAAATGTAATATCTAAAAGACAGAAAATAGGTCAGCAGTCTGCAAAAGTAAACTTGTCAGTGAGATCAATATAAACCTACAAGTTAATGGGAATATTAGAATTTCTTTAAAATGAGGGATGTGCAGGATGGAGCCAGAACATGACTGTAGAGTTTATTCACTTGTAAAAAAGCAGAAGGTATAGTTAAACATTATTTTTGTATCCTTAACACAAGGCACTGCTTTTTAATATGTGGGGTTGTTTTTTTCTATTTAAGCACAATCTTAATTGATAGAATAACCAAGTAAATTAAAATGTTTCATTTGCTCAGTTTTTATTAACATTAAGGGGAGGAGTATTTGATCAAGCATCATAAAATTTCAGAAGTATTATGAAATCCTTCATTAGCTGTCTCTATGTCAAGCTTTCCAGAAAATCTGACATTGCGAATGAGATCAATAATAAAAAAAAGTATTTGAAGGGAAAAAGAAAATAACAGAAAGACCTTTCTTGAGGCATCTCATTGCATTTATTTAATTTAAAAAAAAAGTACACATCACTTATTGAATACATAAAATGCCAGTGCTTTGCAACAGTTTTGTTACTGCATCTTTAATTAAAAAAGAGAAAGAAAAAAAAAAAAGAACCAGGGGCAAAATCAAACAGGAAAAAATACATTCAAATAGTGAGGCTGTTCTGCTTATGCAGGGGCAGTGGCTTTGGAAAGCTACAGCCTACACTGTGACTGTTCAGAGGTATTACTGAACATCAGTCAGTTATCAATGAAAAGTTGCACATAAAGCATTAAAGGACAGACAGAACAACTTCATGGGGAACAAGGGGGGAGTGCAGAATGAAGCAAAATGTCGCCTATGCCATGTGGAGAGGGGTAGATTCAGATGAAGAAAGCATAAAGACTGATGATTCTGGAAACAATATTGATGGGGAAAGATGGATGGAAACAAAGTAACATGTTTGGCAAGCTATATTTCATGTGTGTGTGTATGTGTGTCCACTTCCAATTTTCTACTACACTTTCCAATAGAAATGTAACAAAACTGAGGTAGAAATGAATGTGGGAGCACTACAGCCCAGGAGATTTCAAAATGAGAAGTAAAATTGTATTGACAAGAGTGGAGTCAAAAAGAAAGAAGGGCAGGGGGACGGTGGAGAGGTTCTTTGTGGATATATATATATATATATATATATATATATATATATATATATATGCATATACACCCACACCCACACATACATATATATATATACATACATACGTATGTAGGTTAGTTGTTTTTTTGTCATTATTTGTGTGTTTTGGTTGCTATCCTCTGCATTCTATTAAGCAGTATGGCAAGCCTATAAACTAGTTTAGTGGACTAGAATGACACCATTCCCAGCAGTTTTAAGAGATTACTTGCAAACTACCACCACCACCACGCTCCAGTAAAAGACAGTTGTAGTTGTCGGGTACTGTGACTTTCAGGATCCTAAACAGGTCTTGTGGCTGACTGTTGCAGACTGAGTAAGTAGTTTTCCATTAACCAGTGTACCTTTTAAGAACATTTTCACTTCATTATCAAGGAGCAGTGTACTCAGAGCTCTTGCAGCTATTGATAAAGAATTTCTCTGCTCTGGTTAATTCCCCATAATTACAAAAAAGAACCTTTTTTTGTTGTTGTTGTTTTAATCCTTCTATTTTTACTTTAAATTGTAAATATTCAGTTGTCTCACATGTCAGTATTTTTCTGGGTACATTCAAAGTAATTTTCCTTGCTATTTTCCAATTGTTGAGGTAAACATATATTTTAATATAAAGTAACAATGAAGCCTATCCTATTACTCTCAGCAGTACATAGTGCTTCCAACACATTCCTTTGAGGTACTGTACAAATCACAATCGCTTTCCTGAGTTTTTGCAGACAAGAACATTAAAAGAAATGAACTGCAGAAATTAAGGTCCAGATTACCGTTACCCTGTTTTACCTGTTCTTAGCTTAATACTGCAGAACAGACAGGATTGAGGAATACTGTTGCTCTTAAAATGGCAAAAATCTGGTTTTCTGTCGTAACAACAACTGTTCATCTCTTTAGTCCAATAATGTTTGAAGTTAAAGCTCTTTATATTAGCACATGCCACCAATGTAATTGTGAGGCAAACAAAAAATAAAGCACCACTCCAGGCACTTGACAGCAACTAAATCTCGAGAACAGCAGAATGGAATCAACACACGAGGTTCATGTCCTTCTGAAATCAACACACGTGCACCTTGCTCCTTGTTGAGTGTTGTCTAGCTTGAACCAAATTGAGCATCAACATACGCTTTCTGTCATCTGGGGCTTTCAAATCAGAAGCTCTCATGTGATGCACTTTTCCTCCAAATACTACCCTGACTCTAAAGATGCAACTTAATTGTCGTCTTCCCCAGTACCCTTTGCAATTTAAACACTACTGGAAAGGGACTCTATACCCTATGTAGCAGGTTTTATGTGTGTGTGCCAACATTCATTACATTTTTTTGTTTGTTTGTTTAAAGAACTTATCACTGACTGCAACCAAACATTTTGTTCCATTCAACATACATATCAAGCTCTTTTTGAGATATGCTAGGCTGAATCTTGCAGAAAGCATTTTCAAAGTCTTGATACGTAACTGGCCTCAACTGACTGGGCATAATGGCTGAAAGGTCTGTGGCTGGCATGGCATGGAGGGGGCCCACCGCTGCTTCCTGACACAAATGAGCCACATCTAGTCCAGAGAAGCCTTCTGTGCGCTGGACGAGCAGTGCAAACTCCTTGTCATTGAGACAGTAATTGTGCTGTGAGAGCAGTTGTACTATTATCTGGTGCCTGGCTGTGCTGTCAGGAAGTGGGATTAAAAGTCGTTTCATGAAGTACCTCCGAAGAGATTCATCTATTTCTTCTGGTTTACTGGTGGCACAAATTACTACGATTTGGTCCTCAGCCGAAGTTAGTACACTGTCCAGCTGCATCAGAAACTCGGTTCTCATCCGACTGACTGGACTGTGTTCCTCATTCACTTGTGAGGAGAGAAGCATGTCTATGTCACTAACAAAAATCACTGAGGGCTGGCGACACCTGGCCACAAGAAACGAGGCATGGATGATTTTCTCTGCTTCTCCTAACCACTTGGCGACTAGTCCAGAACCAGCGATTTTGAAAAATGTGGCCCCCAGCTGACTAGCTATGCACCTGCCCAATAATGTTTTGCCTGTTCCCCGAGGCCCAAAGAAAAGGATGCTCCGAGGTAAGGCCGTCAGTCCACTAAATGCATCTGACCTCAACACTGGCCATAAAACCTCCTCTTTAATGACAGCTTTTATCAGGTCGAGACCAGCAATGTCATTCCAGTCCACTGGAGGTCCTTGGGTGATAATCTCATTGGTTACCAGGTCAATGAGGTGCGTGTCAGTATTCTTCAGTTGCTCGTCCACAGAGTGGTTGGATGAGGTAGCTGCACGGAGTCCAGGGCCTTGCATTGGGTGAGTGAGGAGTTGCCTGTGCTCATCCCCATGCTCACTCATTACTGGCGACGTGTATTTCCCAAATGATTCACTGGATCTTGATCCCAATGAATTTTTAGTAGTGCTGTAGGAAGGGGGGGTCAGAGCCCGACTGGACTGGCTACTGAATTTCCTTTGCTGTTCTGAGGACATTAGCTGCTTTGTTGGCTTAAATGCTAAAGATGATGTTTCAGCACTTCTGTCAAAGCCATTCCCCCGATTTGTGTTTGAAATGCTATTGTCGGGCATTCTGTACATAGGACTCTGTGTAGATCTCTGTTGGCCATAGCTGTAATTTCCATAACTGGAGTCCATATCTCCTTGCCCTGCCATATAGAAGGCTTTCCTTTTGAGAGAACTTGCCGAACTGTTGGTCAGAGCTGACGGTGCAATAGGTGTCAAACCATGACCCTGGTAAGTGTAGCCAGGAACAGTGGTGGGGGGCAGAGGGGTAGGCGCAGGTATTCCTGAAGGCAGATATGCTGAAGGAGGCGGGGGTGCCCCACCAGGGCTGTACCCAGATCCTACAGCAGTCTGAGGAGGATAACTAGCAGAGGGATAGCTGTAAGTGGAGAGGTTAGAAGTCCCGTTGTAGCCTGGGACCAGGGCTGGAGGTGGAGGAGGCGGTGGCGGTGGCTGGAGGAGGCCAGAGCTATGCAAAGGAGATGGATGAGGTGAAGGAAGTGCAGGTGCTGGCTGGCTACTGTAAGTAGAATGCAAATATGATCCGTTGTATCCTGGGGCATATTCCTGAGATGGGAGCCCTGCATGGAGACTAGGTACCGTGTGGCTTCCACAGGTGCTACTTGAATAACTAGGTTCTGTCAGGTTGCTGGCCACCCCAGGAGAGCTCCCTATACTCGCAGAGACATCTGCTGGAGGGAGGGCTGAACTGACTCCAGCTTTGCTGGCAGTGATAACATCCGGAACACAGTTCATAGGATAAACAGCTTCTGAATTCAAGGAAGGCTGCCAGGGTTCACTTTCATTTTTCCGACCGTTTACTAGTCCTGATGATGCATCCGAATAGTTGCTGAGTACAGGTCGGTCGACAGAGCCTTCCAAAATGCCAGAATACTTTTCTGCATATTTTTTTAGTAGGTTGGATGCAGTCAGAGCAGATATATCATCATTCGCCCAGGCGTACTGATAGGTGCGCTGCAAATGACCTCTGTAGGCTTCCACTTTGTGAGCAGGAGACCGAGTGGTTGAGGTGATGTCAAAGTGCTGTTCTGGCCACTGGGCATGCTCCGGCGTCCACTGCATCTTCAAGCCTAAAGATTTGGGGGGGGGGGGG